TCTTCTCAGTCATGATGTTCACCTCGTCAATTTTACCAAACTGGCCGAAATACTCGCGCAGATGCTCCTCATCCGTGTCTTCTTTGATTCCGCCCACAAACATCTTTTTAACAGTGGAGTGAGCGCCTGCTTTGCACGAGTCCTGAAATCAGCGTATGTAAGCAATTATTGCAACATACAAAAAATAAATATAGTTATCCATTCACAAATATCACTAGATAAAAAGATCATATAACAACAATTTTTAGTGGCAAATACCAGAACGTTATTTAATTTGATTTTATAAAAACGGGAACACTGATTGTAAGGTTTCTCAGAATGAACACCTACTTCTCTAGACACCGCCCTCTTGGGTTCAACAGCTCTTCCGTCCACTTTGTGCGGACGAGCATCCATCGCTGCATCCACCTCATTCACCGAACTATAGGTCACAAACCCAAAACCCCTCGACCTCTTGGTGTTGGGGTCCCTCATCACCTGTGAGCAGAAAAGGGTAAAGAAAAGACATAAGCAGCTGGTTTCAGAGCCTGCTCTCGTTCATTAGCATGTGAATGCAGGCAGATGTACTCACCACACAGTCTGTAAGAGTTCCCCATTGCTCGAAATGGGCCCTTAGACTCTCATCTGTTGTCTCGAAACTGAGGCCCCCGATAAAGAGTTTTCGGAGCTGCTCAGGCTCACGGGGGGTCTGTTGCTGTGAGAATCAAAACCATTCAAATCAATACCCTAAATGGCAACGTTACAACCAGCTCTAAATGTATGCTCCTATTCAAACAGACACAGCACATTTGATTAGCTATCGGCGGTTTCCCTGCACTCGTATGGCATAACACAAACCAAAGGAGCTCTGAAAAACAAGTTGCTTTATAGCAAAGGACGCAAACTGAACTACACTGTTAATTCATAAATATCAAAACTGCCAATGCTACCGAGCTCTGCCGATATTGTGTCGTGTGATGCAGGAGCGCATCTGCAATAGTGCGGCCTACAGCGCCACCACAAATAAAATGTATTTTTCGATGGAAAAATACATTTACGCAAAGAAACACTGCTCTTGAGAAAGCACGGATGAATCCAAAAACGAAGGGTTGAAACAATTCAAAACAAAGGAATTGCGTTTTAGCTCATGTGTCGATACGAGCCTCTGCTGCGAACAAAGAAAAGAGACGAAGTCGCGAGGAAATGGGCGTCTTTACCAACAGCTGATTTCTCTAAATAAATTATCTCACTCTTTTACACTTGACTTCATAACAATCACAAAATACGTACCAGTT